CAAAGCATGTGGCCAAACCCAGCGTGTCCCCGTGCAGGTACCACAGCCGAGCCGCATCTCCCAGCGGACACCCCTATGACCAGACCTACCTAAGAAGTGCCCCTAAGGACACTCTGCTTTGGGTTCTTCTTCCATGCAGTAACGTCATCCGGATCCCGGGACTACCCAGAGCAGGGGGCAGAGCAGCTCCCCGCTGGGGCCAGACCCCACGGCAGCAGCCGGGGCCTCCATCACGGGCATTTTCCCTGGGAAGAGACAGTCCCTGGCCCGAAAGGTTCCGATGTCCCATTCCTGTCCCCAGCTGCAGAGCCGGAGGTGAAGCCGCCTGTGGAGGTGGGAAGTCACATCCCGTTTGCTCCCACCCCGGCTGCATCTCCTGGGAGTCCGTAGCAGTGGCTGGTCCAAATCCAGCTGCTCTGCTCCCTGCAGACCGTCTGCTCCACTCCAGCTCGGGGAAAGCCCCAGCCTTTCCAAGGAAAGGAACATGCCCACTCCAAACCCAGACTCATCCAATCCTCCCACAGGAGATAAACCCCCCGGAAATGTGGAAGGGAGCCTGAACATCAGCTAAGAACTTGGGAAAGAGCCAAGGAAACCCTGTCCTAGGACGTGCCCCCTCACAGGTATAAACATCCAAGATCTCTTCCCATCCTCAAACACTGTGGGGCTACAAACAAGACCTTTGTGGAAGCCCGGCCTGACTTACAAGCAAGCTGCTGTGGCCGTCAGCGACACCAGAGCTGAGCACAACTGGGCCTTGATGTTCTCACTTCAAGGAAAATCCCAACAAATTTGGAAAAGGGCAAAATTTGGACCGGGGAAGCGCTCAGCACCTTGGCCTGGTGGCAGTGCAGAGAAGTCTTAAGAGCAGAGAGAACACAAGAGGTGGCAGCAAGGTGTGAACTGCTGCGCTAGGAACCACACTCAGGCCAAGCGTCGGTTCTAGGGACTTTATTGTCATTTTCTTTTCAATTCTAGAGTACAAAAGCATGCAAAAAATAGCCTCTCTATTAATGATACATATTTACAGGGTAACGGCCACATGCCATTACGATGCTGAGCGCATATACATCATGCTCGAGCCCTAGCAGGGTACATACAGGCTGATAGATTTAACATCAGGTAGAAGAGGAGACTCAAATACTGAACAGAACAGGCATGTAGATCAGATACACAGCAGCAAGAGTACAGCACGGAGCATCAGAATTGTATCCTGAAAAGTTGCACTTTGTTTTTCTTGAATTTACATCATTTTTTGGGGGAAACTTTGAAAGTCTTGTGGTTACCACGCAAGGGCCTATGCATCTGCTTGCAGCACCTTGAGGCATAGATGACTTATTTGGGGAAGGAAAGGTTGAAACCAGCCTGCTGGCTTCTTTCTTCCCCTCACCCTGCAAAAAGCTGCATTTAGAGAAGTGGGGAGCTATGAAGATCAGAGGATAACTCGGGTGAATTCAGGTCAGGAGGCTCCCCCGGTCTGGTGCAAGGTCCTGTTCAAAGCATTGCTCGCTGCAGGATGCTCAGGGCCAGAAGAGAAGTTTCTTCCCCTACTTTGTTTTTTACTCCCCTATTTGCAGGCAACACCACAAATGTGCCTGGGTGAAAACAGAGAAGTTTGGTACCCAAACTATATTATATATGCTATATATAAATATATATACGATATATAAATATATATATGCTATATAAGCCATTTTTCAGCATCATTTTTCAGCTGTTATGTCACCACATCTCCCTTCTCTGCTGGGACTCGAGGCTGAGATCTCCTGCCTCAAAGAGGGGCCCTGCTTTCTGCCAGCAGAACAACCAGGAGACACGAAGCAGATGAAAGATGCTGAAGATGGAGGCAAAGTGCTTAACTTTAAGCCCATGAATGAGCCTTTCCTCTTACAGGGCCAGTGCAGAAGGGAGGTTTTGGTGAGGGATGCAGCTAGTGCATCCCATTGGGACCAGATCCCCACATGAGCGTTTGGCTCCTGCTCCTGAGGCACGAGCTGCCTGTGCTTGGGCAAGCCTAGCAACGAGCTACTCCAGTCACAGCTGCTTTTGCTCATCCACCAACTCTCAATCTGTTTTCTTAGTTGCTTTTCATCTGAAAAGCACCTGATCTTAAAGAATTGAAACAAAAATCCATAATCCACAGGCTGGTGAATCCCCTCTCCTGTGCAGCGCAGCCTTGAACCCCTGTGAGCTGCCCTCTCCCACCAGTTTGTTTGGAGAAGAGCGATACCTCCTCAAGGTAACATCAAACTGCTTCCAGGGAGACCTGTCTGAGCAGCTCCTCAAGCCACTGCGATCCCCAGACAGCGTCACCAAAACGCTGCGCTGCAGCGGAGCTCGGGATGCTCTTACGGGACTCCATCCCGCTCCTAGAAGTTTTGCACTTGCAAAACATTGCAATTAGCATTGCAACCGACCCCCAAAACAGGCACATTTATTTACAGTTGAGCCAAACACAGCTGTGACCTGCAGGGCCTGTGTAGAACTTCATCAGGGACAGGACCAGGCTCCAGGCACAGCTCTCCCCACAGCTGTTCAGAGCCATGAATGAGCCAAATTTCTACTCATTTTCATGTTCTGCTTCATTTCTGGGACCCCTAAATTTCTCTAACCTGCAACTTGCAAGAGGCAATACAGGAAACACCAGCTGGACCAAAAGATGTTGGCCCCAGGTCAGCTGTGAAGACACCAACTGATGCCACCACTGACTGGTGGCAAGCCTGACTGCTACCCGCTCTCAAAACCACGAGTGAGGAGACCCTATTTGAAGGTATTTTTGGCACTCAAGTCTTTCAAAGATTCACACATTATTTTGCTCTGCAGTTTGCTTCTTGTATCTCAAGGCACTGAAAAATAAAACCCCTCGCAGAGCCGGCACCCTGTGCAAAAATCCTTTTCAAACCCTAAAGAGAAGACCTAGCTCTATTTATATTAACTAAGAAAAAGAAAACTCTGCCTCCTGGAGATCAGGAGACACGTGCTTGCTCCAAGAGAGAGATTTCTTTCAAGTTTTCTCCAGCTGGGCACCCCTCAAATTGGGGGGAATGCCACAAGTCGGTGGCCAGGGAGCTCTTCCCAAGCCTCTGGAGCAAGAGGAGCTGCAGGGAGCCGCAGTCGGGAATGGCCCTGCTGAGGGAAGGTCACGGCTGCGCGAGCATCCGGAGGGCAGGAATACAGGGCAAGCAGGGAAGCAGCAGTGACCATTTCCATCGGCAATCCCTGCTACTCGGGAGCCCCCACAACACCAGAGCCCAGCACCTTGCTAAGGACAAGAGCGATTTGCAGGTGTCCCTGCAAAGGGATGGCTGAAAACAACATTTTACTTTAATAAACACTCCACTGAAGCCAGATCTCATCTTTTGTATGACTTCAGTACTGCTCCGGGCTGCCCTGATGTGCATACAACCAAGCAGGACTCTCCTTCCAGGAGAGCAGGGTTTTGCAACAGCCCCGAGGCTGGCAGATTTGCTGGAGAAATGGAGTACAACAAAGTCTCTATTGCTCAGTTCTTATAATTTTCCAGATCTGTGGAAACATGGGAGAAAGCATTGCTTTTGGCACGGAGTGTCCTTTTTTTTTTTTTTCCCCTCCTATGTAGGTTTTGGAATAATGACACAAATAGCCCTTCTCCCCCATCCTGCCCCATCCAGAATTAAGGAAGTGCTCTAGTTCCCCAAGCCATCGCCACCCTGTACTAAATCTGCAATAAATAAACCTGCACTTGCAGCCTGAGGACCAGCCCTTGGCACACTGCACCCTCAGGACCCCAGTGCCACCACGGCACCTCTAGCACCCACTGCACAGAGGGGCACCACAACCCCAGCCCTCCAACACAACAGTGAGATGGTTGCACAGGAACCAAGCTCAATCATGTCCTGTATTTAAGTGCTATAAAATAAGGATGCAGTCCCATTCCCTTTGGCTCCCTGAAGACATGCTCAGGCCCCATAAAGCTTAAGAGAAAATATCGACATATTTTTTGACAGATATCACGGATTCCTACTGAGTGCAAGAGCCGACCTCCCATCTCTGCATGGAGCCCTCAGTGGTTGCCCTTTGGGTGCGATCTCTCACCTGATGGCAAGATGAGGAGCTGAAGCTTCTGATCCCCAGTTTAGGAGCAGTCTACACATAAAATAGCAGCATCGGCAAGTGCATCAAGAAAAATCAACAGCTTAAAATTTAAAAAGTAGTAAAAAAACAAAAGGTCAAGTTTTGATTCAGCCTCATTCCCATTCTGCTGTTTTCTGAAGTCTAAAAACCCTCCACCAGCTCCCTCTGGACTAGAGGGCTTAATTTTAGCATTAAATTGAAATTTGAGGGCGTCAGGCACCTTCTTTGCAAGGAGCTCAGTGAGGGAAAGGAAACCATTTTCTAAATGACATAAACCCCAAGCCTGTTGCCTCTTTCCAGTGCCGAGTACAACATCCATGTGCCCAGGACCATGTCCAGCCAACAGTGTCAAATCCAGGCTTTTTGAGAACACCACAGTTCACTTACCCAGGGGCTCAGTGAACGAAGCCCTTTGGGGCTGCAGGCACCCAAAGGCTCATCGCACATCCCAGGGAATCGCCCCATCATCTTCATCCTCACTTAACTGGTGCCAATGGAAAATTCGCCTCTAGCTCCGCCAGGAACAGGACCTGGCCCCGCTGACCAACCCCAGACCGAGCGCCGGCGTCACGTTGCGCCAGGTGCTTAAAACTGAGAACGCAAAAAGCAGGGGGAAGAGACAAAGGTCTCCAGGACAAGCAGCCCCAGAGACAGCGCTGGCTTTGACGCGTTGCGAATAAAAACGCGTTCCTCAGTCCGGACACCCAGCTGCAAAGCGTCAGGCGAGAGGAGCGCCGGGGACCGCGCCGCTTGGCCGGCGCTGCTCCGCTCCGCATGCTGCTCCTCCCCGGCGCCCCGGCTCGCTCCGCTCGGCTCTGGCTTCGCCACGCTCCGGGCGACGAGGGCAGACAGGCGCCGGATGCCACCTCGATGGTCACGATGCCGGCCCGGGGCGGCCCCACGAGCTCAGGGAGCAGCTTCATCCTCGCCCACGTCCGGCAGCTCCGTGTCCCTGGCGCCGTCTCTGCTCCCTTGCTTTCTGCAGCAACCAAGGGATGGAAACGGGGAGGTTACAGGTAGGCACAGGACCAAACGGCTCTCGGACACCACCGCGCAGAGCAGCAGCCTTTCCCAATGCTCTAGTTTGGGTTTGGGCAGTTCTGCTGTGCCTACCCTTGCCATTGCTCCAAAGCGCAGATGCAAGAGGCAGTCGCCTCCTCCTCATTATCTATTTCCGAAGACTGAGGTTTTGCCGAGAGCTTTAGGGGCCTCGGGGCTTTCTCATGGTTTTCCAGCCCCTTCGGCAAAGCCGGATGCGGCCACGCAGGGCCTTGCACCTCCCCGGGCAAGGCCTGCCTCGCCGCGCTGCACGTCCTTGCTAACGACAGCGGCCGCCAGCCCGCGGCACTGGGTGTCTGCAACAGCACTTCTAGCCTAAAGAGAGGCAACACGACATGGAAAAGCAGGGGGGCCGCCTACGCAAAGGTGAAGCACAGAGCTCACAACACTCACATGCTCCTGGGGCCCCCCAAATTGCTCACCAAGTACCCCCAAAATTCAGCTCTGGGTTTCCCCTCCATCTTTGCCAGGAAGGCAGGGAATAGGGAGCAGTGCCGAGCACCCAGAGCTGCCCACGCCTGCCCTGTGCCTGAGCTGGGACCACAGGGAGCCCAGCACAGCTCGAGGGCTGTTTGGGGGCCTTGCAATGGGTGCCTGGTTCTTCATGTTACCTTAGACTTGAAAGGAGGGAGGGAGAGATGGAAAGATACTTGGTGGTCCCCAAATTGTAACACAAGAGCAGATCTCCTCTCCCTGATGCTGTGCAGAGAACAGGCTCTAGATGAAGTGGGTGGGAATTGAAGAGGTCCTCAGAGCTCAGCAGATAGGACCAGGGGCGGCCCTAGCTCTAGCTCGCTCTCCTTCTTAACCACTAAATACTAAAGCGGCCCATACAGCCTCATCCAGGCTCAGGATTTCTCCAATCTTGCAGTTATTCATCCACCAACATGGGGCTGAACAGCTTTTCCTCCTAAAACCTACCTGGCCCCATCAATCCTCTCACCTCAAAGTGCTTTAAATAGCAGGAAAGGAGCCAGGCAGCTGCACCACACACACAGAGCTGCGCTAGGAGTGCTCCTAGGGGAAGGATGGATGGATGAACAGATGGACCTACTGCACCACACAAACCAGGGAGCCAAGGAGAGGACACTACAGCGCCTGGGATGGGGGGAACACAAACACCAAATTACCTTAGAGATGGATGCAAATATACAGATGTGTTTAAGAGGAACCTATCCCTGAGAGCAGAACAACGAGACAAAGGAAGAAAATGATGGTGAAGGTTATGGCAGCAGCAGAGATGGGCCCCACTCCCGCGGCCGATGATGGATCCGCTGCAGCGCAAACATCAGGCAAAGTCCAACCTATCTGTGGCCATCACACAGACTTGGAGCCTTTTCCTGACTTGCCTTGACCGAGCAAAGGGCCTCCCTCCCCTCCGGATTCCTTGTTCCTGCCCTACTCAATGCAGGCCCCCAGGCAGCACTGCCAGTTCCACTTTCTTGGAGGAGGAGGCTTTCCAAAACAACAGGGATATGCCCCAAATAGGAGCTGACAACCCCATTTCACCACTAGCAACAGCAGAATAAACGGCAGAGTAAATGGGGTCTGTCAAAACACAGCAATTAGCGTGATAGGCAGCACTGCAACAGATGAGAGCGATACAGCGTGGTGAGACCGCGCTGACTCACTTCGGAGAAATGTGGAGCAGGCAGAGGAGAGGTAGAAACGCTGCGAAGAGAAAGCCAGGACGTGGCTGCAAACACTCAAGGATTTGGTTTAAAGAACAAGCTGAGTTCTGCAACTGGGAGAGTTAAAAGTGACAGGTTCCAATGTAAGGAACAGGGAGGAACCTGGTTGCGGCGTGTGGAATCTGCGAGGCTCCATGAGTCCTTTGTCTTCGGGGGGATCCTGCACAAAATTTTACCGATGTTTTCACTTTAGCTCCCTTCCAACTTACATTTCTATCATTCTCATGGCTGTTTTTTCACTTTGTGGCAGTATTCAGTAGTGATATATAGTGCCCAGGAGAGAACTACTACTCCTGGGACTTAATAGCACCAAACAAACAAAAAAAAATCTCTCCACTAAGTGCAAATTTTAGAATGATTTCAGATCAGTGATGTCTTAACCATACCCTCTAAGGGCACAAACCTTCCATAAACCTGGAAAGTCTCCTGCTGTTGCAAAGACTTCCACCCATGCAGCTCTTGAGTATTTCTGTGGACAGAGACCAATGGTTGGGGTTGTGGACTGGCAATGGCAGGAACGGGCAAAAACTGAGAAAAATTCAGTCAAGTGACTTCCAGCTCCTCCTCCCCCAATCCCAGAGGAAGCTGCCTCCTTCCTCCTCGTATTTTCTTAAAGGACAGATCCCTTTTAAGAAACGTCAGTGAGGCATGAAACACAAGAAAGCAGACTCAGCTGTCACAGGATTTCCTGCAAAATATATTCTCAGTATGGGCACAGATGCCAGGTCTTGAAGCAGCAGCAAGCAGGGCTCCATCCACATCACTTGCAGTCTAATTAAATTGAATGTGAAATTGAAAAAGTTTTCTAATTGTTGTTCTTTTTGCTTCTATAGGAACACAAAAAAGTCATTTTCTAGCTATAACTGGAAGGAGAAGCAATGTTATACGAGCTGATTTCCCACCAGTGGGGAGAAGATCTGAGGGGCGGTTTGTGTTTTCCAGCTGGTGCCCCTGGTACAACATCACTCTGCACGACAGGCAGCATCGGCTCAGTTTTGCTTCCCAGATGCTGGCACCAATCCTGAGTGCTGCCAAAAGCTCTCCAGCCCCACGGACATAAATAGGTCCAATCCTGATATCCTTCAGGTTGACCTTATGCCCATTTGGTGTAAACATCCCAGAACTGAGCACCTGGAAAGCAGGAGTTCAAAGCAGCTTGTTTATCCCTTTGCTCCTGGTAGGTGACCACCAGCAGCTTAATATCGGGTTCAGTTTGCCCTGGTGGAGGTAAATATTATAATAAAGAAAATAACTCACAGAACAGTGAACTTCTTACCTCAGGAGAGGAAAACCATTTGAAGAGCTTTGTCTTCCAGTATTAAATGCCTGAAGCAACATGTATGAGGACTTCCACAAGTTTAAATCACTCAGATTCAACCAGACTCATATTTTTCAAAGTTTGAAATAACAACCTGAAGTCCTTAAAAGATTATCCCCGTTGTAGTGCTTAATATACAACACTTCATGGAAGGCACCTAGCTTACGTGTTTCTTTTGAACAGAAATCTTTTGATACAGGTTCTTGAGAGAGGAAGCTGAAAAGAACTGGGCTACAAACCTTAGAAAAGACACAAATAAAAGAGGAGATTGAGGCATACAGCTTGCCTCCAAGGCTTAAAAAGACTAAAGAGGGGATTTAGACATTGATTAAATGGATAATCAGAAACTTCACAGCTACATCAGATCAAATAAATTTTAGTTGTTTTGCACAATAGTGAAGCATCCTGTTCCAGGCAGGAACGAGCTACAATGTGCCAGGGTCAAGGAGAAGTTTTCACACTGGCTTGTAGTGACTGATCAGCCAGAGCTTTCATTCCACCTTCATCTGAGATACTTGGAACAGGTCCCTTTGGTAAACAGGTTCAAAGCACTAGAACAAGAGACCACCTTGAAATATCAACACAGGCAGAGTTTGAAAAGGAAAAACCATGGCAGGTTTAGAGATAGATTTCCTGGACACTGCAAGGCATGCTCTATATTTTTCTTCAGGCTTAATAAAATGTTCTTCATCTTTGAGCAATGCACTGCCCAGGAATGACAGTGAATTTATGGACCCAGACACGTGTCCCATTAGTGAGGGCTAATTACGAGGGCAACAGGCCAGGAGAAACTCAGTGGAAACAAACTGCTCGTGCTAAGCTGGCAAAGGAGCTGTGACTGCAGCACACCTCAGACCTGTCCCTGGAGCAGCACATGATGTACAGGGTGTTTGCTGGAACACACATTGGCTCATGTCTCTCTTGCCTGCCTGGATTGAAAACTGTCAATTCTAGTTGCTGAAAATCCAAACTTGTGCAACTGGCAGGAGGAATTGGAGGGAACACCGGTGCCTCTGTGTGCAGGCAGGCAGCATCCGTGGGGTGCTCGACACACGGAATAAAGCATGCTCAGAAACCCCTGGGGAAGTATCTGGCACGTTTTTTAAAGGAAATATTTACAAACACTTTCCCTTATTCTCCCTGTACCTTTATTCTGTACCCTCAGGCAGAGCCAGGCAAGGCTGTATATACCTACATGAGCAAGTTTCCTGGAGCAGACATGGACCTCTCCTCCCGTCTGGTCTGAACCTCAAATGGATTTCCAAAGGAGCGCTTTCTTAGCATGGCCTTCACTAGGATCTTTGAAAAGAAAAACAGAGCAGTGAGGACAGCAGAGCTGACATATCATCTCCTTGAAGCTAGTCTAAAGGAATGGAACAACAGCTCCTTAATAATTCAAGCAGATGTTTAACAGCATTGCAGCTAAGGCACGAGCTAGAGAAAGCCCTGGACTAGCTATTCACTCTGCAGACAGGGCTGGCAGTGCTTCTGCGTGCAGTGTGCTCAGCCCCTGGGTGCTGGGTGTTGCTAACAAAATAAAAGCGGGTGCTGCTGACAACCGCCTGCTGCTTGCAGCAGTCCAAGCCCCCAGGAGGAGGAATCAGCACTCTCCTGGGTTAAGAGGATGAGTTTCCCCTGCCAGCAGCACACGTGCCCTCCGAACCTTCTTCAAGGGCTTTAGGGCAGCCTCTTGGTAAGAGTAGGGGAAGGACTGAGGTCTATACGTACCACAGCTGGCAAACTTGGGATCGTCTTAACCGAGTTCTTCACCTCCTCCTCCGTCACCTCCACCACAGTGCAGTGCTCGTCCTCCAGGGGCAGGGGCTCCTCGCCGTTCCTGGTTAGCCATGGATGCAGCTACATGGAGAAGGAGCACAAAGCAAGCTGCAAGTCTCCCTTTTACACTAGGGATGTTGGCAGAGGCTCCATATTTCACTTATGGAGCCCATGCCTCAGGCATCCAAGTTATCCATGGTCTTCTGCATACACTCTCCATTTTTTTCCTCTCATATACAGATATAATCCAATACATGAGATACATTCCAAAATATGTGTATTCCAGTTTATGCACACTTACTGCCTATGAGAACCACTATCATTTAAGCACTTGCATAATAAGGATCTAAACAACCTGCGGGGCAGTGACAGGCGAAACAGCAAGGGCAGGAGGCCACGTCTCATAAAAGCAGGAAGTACCTTGCTAAGGCATGAGGTTTTTAGACCAAATTCTGTTTGGCACAACCTCTGAGGTGACAGAACAGAAAGCCCAAGCAAAAGCAAAACAAAGCAGAGTCATGTGAAGATGTTTAGAAGAAGATTTCTTCTCCATTGCGTTGATTTGTTTCTCTGAATAAATGGGCATCATCCAAAAAATGTTAATAGCAACAAACACGATGCCTTAAGACCATCGTGTCACCCCACCGGGCAGGCTCATGCCCCCAGTCCACAGCTCTAACATGCCACTGGGCCGGGCCTCACAGCCAGCAGTCCCCATGACAGTGCCATCCTCCAGCCTGATCTGGAGTAATTCCAACTAAGTGAACAAAAAAGCCTTAGTCAATGTTCCCCAAGGAGGTGGTAGCAACAGAAACGCTCAAAATGAGCGTTCCCCCTCTTGGAATTAGTTTGTTGCAGAAAGCTCCGAAAACAAGCACTCATAACAAATCTGACTCACTACAAGGTACCAAAGAAATGACCAAATTGATTGAGATAACTACTACAGCACCAGTGCCCATCAGCATCAATTTACCTTAATTTCAGGGACCGTTATCCTTGTTTCTGGATTTTTATCAAGCATGCGTAGGATCAGTTCCTTGAGCTCTTCACTTCTCTGGGGTCTAAGCAAAGAAAAGAGCAGTGTACAATTAACCAGGGAATTATGAGTGATGAAGGCGTGCATAACTCTTGCTTGTTATTTGCTCAGAAGGTATTTTCTCTGCAAATGCAGCTTGAGAAGGACAGGCTGGTTGGCTTGGTGCCTTCTGAAGCATCACGGCTGCTGCTAAGGGGTTTCCTCCTCCTGGGCTGCCCACTCTCCAACACAGGGACCAGGCAGACAGGTCTGAGAACGTATTTGAAGACAGTTCATTGTATCAGAGTGACTGCGATGACGAGATGTTTTTGAGGGCAGAACTTGCTCTGGGCTGTATGTGCAATGAAAGGGCATAACTTAGTTTGCAGAAACTGAATTATGAAGCTTGTGCTAGAGAAAACACTGTTTCCAAGATAAAATAGAGTGCCCAAGCCCAAAAACCTCATACACAGAGCCCTGGGTCCTGCTGCGGTCTGTCCTCCAAGCTCAAAGGCCTCAGTGATTTCTGTTGCTAACGATGCAGGCAAGACCTTTTCAAACGTGCTTGGTTTGCACATTTGAAGCACTACCAAAATCAAATGCCAGCCTATGACAGGAATGTGTTAGTCAGCTGAGAGCCTGTGTCCCAGGTGACCCTTGAGGAGCAACATCCGCACAGAGATGGGATTTGGCAGCTGCAAATGTCACCCCCCCACAAGCAGGGCTAAGGACAGAGTCAAACCACGGATGAGAACCAGGTGCTGCCCCCACCTGTGCTGGTGCCTCCACAGGAGGAGGGAGGAAGAAACCCTCATGCAGCTAAACAAAGCTCAAATCGCAGCAAGGGGTGTTTTTATCTGCTAAAATCAGAGTTGCCATTTAATAATTTCAAAATACTTTATGTGGACTTGGTTAGGGGATGTTTAAAATGAGCTGCATTTGCTCAGTGGGAAGGGGTAGAAAGAAGGCACAGCCTAAAGCTCCTGAACACTTTCAGTTGTGTCAAGGGGCTACAGCACATTGAATCTGCCCTGAGCAAAGGGAATAGCAGGATGAGCCCTCCGAGCCCTCCCATTTCCTCGGCTGCATTTCGTGGTACATCACAGGCAGGACCCACATGCCCTCAGGATGGACCCTAGTGCAAGGCAGCAGCTCTGCGGCACTGCGGTTCTTTGGCAGGTCCGAACAGCAGCCTGGGATAACGGTGAGATGCTGCTTCTCAAAACACCTAACATCGGAGCTGTGCAAAAGTGACAAGAGCAGAATTGAAAATAAAATAGAATATACCCTCACATAATATTTCTGGGAACCAGACCGATATCTAGGCGACACAGAATTAACCTCTTGGTGATTAAAAAAAGTTGAAAACAGGTTCACAAAGTTTGTGGTAAATTACAGCTAGGTAACAAAATGACTCAGCCCGTCTGTTTTGCCTTCTCTCCCTCCTGCCCGGGCACACGCTGTACCTGACGACATTTTTCAGCTGAAAAGTCTGTGGATCTGGAATTTCTCAGCACTGTGGCTCTGTGGCGGCTTCCAGGGAAACACAGAGCATCGCCCAGCTCCGATGGAGCCGGGAAGGCTGCCAGCACCACAAATCATCTTAGCGGGCGCCCACGCACCAAGGCAACGTCCTGAGCACCCCGAGGACCACGCAGAGCTTCTGGCTCTCCCAATACCTGCCTGGGCAGAAAGCTTTCCTGCCTGCTTTTAATCATGCCCCACAAGCATCGGGTGCGAGCTGCAGTGCTGGGCTAACCACGCTTATCTCGTGTCGTGCCCGGGTCTCATTGACATGAATGAGAGCTGCGGAGGGATAGTAAATATTTATCATGGTGTTTCTAAGGAAAGGGAAGGTGACACGAGCACAGGCGGCTCCATCTCCATTCTGGAGGTTGTCAGGAAACAGGCAGTGAGTTTCCATGGACTGTCTGCAAAGAGGATTCTGTGCTTTTGTAGCCATGGTAAAGTAAATTGAAACCAAAATAATCCCGACTAGAGCGGGATGCTAATTCCGTGGGAGGTCAGGATGGATTCGGTCCACTGGGCACCACCTTCACGTGCATCTTTGTTACTGACTTTTCCCAATTCATTAACAGTTGTCATGCAGACAGCAGTTGCGAGCCAGGAGCTCTCTGCTTCCCAGCAGCCTAATTAGGGGTGCTGCATTTTTTAGACGGGGAGGGCAGTGCACCAGAAAATCCGAATAAATCACACAGTCTGACCTATTGCTGAAGGAAACGATTGAATAGAGAAGCTCCTCAGCACAGCCCAGCTTCCCATTACTTGTTAACAACTTTGCGCAGCGACAGATGGGAACAGTCGCTTGTGCACTGACTGCTAACCCAAATATACGATGGCTGAGAGATAGTGGGCGTTTTGCCAGGCCCCAAGCAAGCAGAGATGACTGCCAGGGAAACAAACACTTTCTTTTTGCTGCAGCTCTGTTAAGAGAAAGTCCTGCCCCACCGGCACAGCAACCAGAAGGAATCCGGCAGCAGGGCACAAGCAGTCTCCATGCTCTGGAGTCCAGGCACCTGGAGAACATCCCCAACAGCACTACACTGTCTTGCCAGAATTGCTCTGTACCTGCAACTGGGACCTTTCTGCCACCAAGCAAGCCAAGCCAGATGCTCTTGGCCCTGTGTCCCATGGAGCAGAGATGTGTCCCACAGAGCAGAGATGTGTCCCACATCCCAGACATGGTCCTCAGCCCCACCAGCCCGAGCGGAGGCAGCTCTAGCTGCGGCGGCTGAGCTTGCACCGATTGGGATGTGATTAATGCAGCCTGCAGAGCCTGGGCCATGAGTCATCCCGCCCAAAGCAGATGTCTAAAATAGGACAGTCTAAGCACCCATTTCTCACTGCAGAATCCCGAGGAAGTCTGGGACTGCTGCGGCAGAGCCCCACCCCTCTACCAGAGGTGAAAAATTCAGTGAGCATCACACAAATAATTCATGCAATAGTGATACATGCACTTATTCAAGGCTGTCTGACATGCCTGCCTGCCTCTCTCCCTCTCTATTACTAGATGTGACTTTCATTAGATTTTTTTTTATGCTTGTTTTAAATCAAGTAATTTTATCTCTAGCTCTTCCTTAGAATTAGATGATCGAGCAGGTCACATTTTCTTTGCTCAGTTGCCATGCTGATTTGAGAAGGAAAGGAAGCCCTCCTCTGGCTTCTTCATTCAAAAGCACCACCCAGGGATGCCCAACACACAGCTCTGCTGAGAATGGGCTCTGTCCTTGGGGTGCCAAGGACTGTAGGACAAACCCACATTTCCCCTGAGTGCTGGAGTGGGCAGAGGGGTGCAGATGCAGCGGTTTGGGGCTGTGCTCATACCTCTCTGGGCAAAATCCCTCTATTGGACATTTCACCCAGCTCCAAGGGAAGCCGGTAGAAGATGCATGCACTTACTTAGACACTGAGGTCTATAAATCACATTGTTTTTACAAATTAATAAGCGAGTCTTTTAGGGTGGTAGGCACCAAAGCCTCAACCACACCCTGCTTCCAGCATCTCCAGAGTCCACAAGGTGAGGCAGAACTTGCTAGACTCATTCACATCCCTCCACTCCCACCACAGACGCCAATGGCAATTTGCTCCTGTCCCCATCTGCACAATGCAGATGGACATGGGAACACCAGAGGCAGCTGGAATGCTCCGCTATCATCACCACAAAATTCACATGAAGGACACAGGCAAAAAAGACAAAACATCTTGCCCATGTTCGTATGTCCCTCTGCAGTGACCTATTGGCATTCATGTTGCTCAGTGAACAACCCTGAAGACTGATTTCTTTCTGCAGTAGCTCAGTAAAGTTTACTTACTCTTCTGGGAACTCCACTGGCTTGTTCTTGATCCTGTTATGAAGCCCCAGAATGTATTCATCTATAAAAGGGCACTGTAAAATAAACCAAAGGTTTTCCAGCTGTCAGAGACCTCAACACTGGTTAGGCATTTGTTATTCACATAAAAGATGTAGTGCATTCCCTGTGCACTGGCTTGATTTGAAAAACAAGAAGTCCCTGAAATGCTCCTCACACACAATGAACAGATTTGTTTCTCATTAATAAATAAATGCAGAAGAGCAGGGGGACCCAGCAGATCGGGACACAGCCCTCCATCCAACCAAACAGGTGACTGTCACCCGCTCATTTCCTTCTCCCTGCCCTACTTTTTTCGGCTGGTAAAATGGAGCTGCTGGTGCTAGCTGTCTTGTTTCTGTGTTTTGTGGTCTCTGGGTGGCATTATTTGGAACTAGGTATTAATATTAAAACCTTTTTTAACATGATCAGCTTGGCTGTACTGATTCAGAGCACACTTCTCTCCAGGATGGCCTGCTTACAACAGATTCATTTAGACCCAAATTATTGCTCTTCCTACCTGGCAGGAAAGGCAGGACTGACAGACCTTTAACTGAGCCACAGCAATACTGCAGGGAAGATGGGACAAACCCTGCAAGCACCTGGGGCAGCAGCTCCTGTTCTGGTGGGATGCAGCTGCCTCCTGGCCCTGGCCCAGGGAAAGTACAAAACCTAAACAGGTTCAAAATGTACCAGGATTGCTGTAGAGGAACATGGGGAATAGGAGGGTGTATCCTTGGGCTTGGTTTTATTTCCTCTCCCTCTTTTTTTTTTTTTTTTAAACTTTCTCAGGCAGGGCTTCCCAAAATCTGGTTTGCTAAAGTGCTCTGCTAAAGTGCTCTGCAGGGCTGGGGATCCAACCTATGCTTCCCTCCACGCGCTCCATCTGGCTTGTTTCTAAATCTAGGCAATGGAGACACCCCCGACAATCTGTTGGTGGTGCTGCCAATGCCCCTCTGGGCTGGCAGCACTGAAAGCTGCTCCGAGTGCAGGGGCCAATGCTAGAAATCATCCCTTGCCTAAATCTGGGCAAGTGTCCCCCAAATCTGGGGGCACTGTTGACCTCTTCCCATCTGCAGTGTGATTTGGGAAGAGAGGCACTTGCGGGAAATAGTTCTTGATTTCTAATATTTTCCATTTGCTGGAAAGGAACAGGTCAAAACGGAGGCAAGGCAGCCCCCCAGGCATGGCAGCAGCGTCCGGGAGCAGCTTACCTTCCCATAAACAAAGCAGTACAGGGTGATCCCCATGGCCCACACATCGAGCGCCTGAAAGAAAGCAAGTGCAGGCAATAAATTAGAAGCAACTCTGAGACGGCCTCAGTGAGCGAGATTTTCCTACTGACTCAGAGCTTTTATTTTTAATCGCATTTAACATTTTCCATGTTGAATTTCACTGTGCAGAGCCCATTTGAGTTTGGGCTCCTTAAAAGCATCTGCTGCATGGCCAGGAAGGCGGATGGCACTGGATCAGGTGCTGCTGCCACCCGTGTGTCTGCTGCTGAGGGGGTATGAGCAAGCAGCCCCTTCCATGGGCGCATCCTGCCAAGGAGACCAGGGTGGTGCTGCCCCTCGTGCCTCGGCTGGTTGGTTGTCAGCAAAGACCTACCTTTCCACTGAAGCTTTTGCCGGTGTCCGAAATGGCCTCCGGTGCCATGAAGGCTGGTGTCCCCGCCGTGCTGGAGAGCTGTGCATCGTTGCCTTCAAACTGATTGCTGACTCCAAAATCAGCTATCTTGACGTGGCCGTCATCTCCCAAGAGCAGGTTGGAAGGCTTGATGTCCCGATGGATGATCTTCTGGTAGTGCACTAAAATGCAGAAGGGACAGGAGTGCAGTGTGTAACAACAGCCGACTCACCCACAGAAAATCCCCAAACATCCTTCCAGGAGGTTGCAAAAAAACACCGTGCCAACTCACACACCCCACTCAGACTGGCAAATACAACATGGCCAAGAGCCATTCCCTACAATGTGCCCGTTGTAAGGAGTGTGGCAGAGACAACATTTCACACTGGGAAGCATACAACCGTCACCAGTAACTACACGAACAGGCATGAACCCAGAAACAGCCCAACCTGGGGTACGGTGCAGAGCTGTTGAGATAGGGGAATCATTCCAGTCCTGCAGATTGGCTTGGCCTCATCAGACCAGCTGAGTCACTAGGCAGCTGGTGGCATTAAAGGTTTGTGGGATCCAAATAAAGTACTTAATTTCACATTGGCTTATTTTAAAACTGCTGTGCCATAAAACTAATCAAAAGGAGTGGAAGGACACGCGGATTGAAACTGATCTGAGAAGGCATTTAGGCAAAATGACAGAAGTAGCAGATGAGCAGCAAGGCCAGCCAACAGCTTGGATATTAGCAGATATTTCCAATGCAAAAGATGCCTCTGTGGCCAGAAGCCATCCCCAGAACAGGAAGTGGCAGAAAAAGCAGAATTGTAGCAATCCCAAGAGACTTCACCAAAGGGGAAAGGAAATTCTCTGGCCTTCCCACCCTGTCCCAGGACACCACGACCACCCGGCCCCATTTACATCTTCCCATGGCCTGCAAACAGAGCACGTCCCTTCTCACGCCTCCATGCGAGCGCTTCACGTATCTCCTAGGAAGTGCACAGCAGGGTGGGGAGAAACACTGGCCTGATCCATCCTGCCTAGCAAGGTGGTCAACATGCTCCCTGTCAGGTCACCACAAAAGATGGTGCCTGAGGACGCTCACCATCCTGCGCGTTAGTGCCCAGAAAGAGCCAACGTCATCTAACGGCTCTTTTAAAGCCAACTTTCCAGCGTGCCAAAGTCACACTTCTCGAGAGCATCCGGGCAGGGCCTTCTCCTTGGCTTAGGGCACTGCTAATGGATGCCCATTGAGAGGTACCCCAACCACGGGCAGCTCTCTGGGATCACCTCCCCACAACCCATGCGGGCAGCACACAAGGGCTGCCTGGCAAAGAGGTTTCAAACAGGCCGTGCAAGAGCCTGACGCGGCTCGCTGACTCGCTACCACCGCACACATCTGCGGGGTAAGCGAGCAGGTCTGTTCCCAAGAGCTGATCAAGAGACGCTGCAAGCAAACGCGCGCTCGGAGCCTGACAGATGTGCAGGGCATGCCAGATGTGCACGCCACCCGCATTGTGGTCAGCTAAAACCACAGCAGCCAGGCTAGACACGTAAATAAGCCCTGGAGGCCCAGCAGCAGCAGTAACTATGCCAAGACATCTGCTCAGCTGGTGCAAGCTGGCATTTCATCACGGTAATGCAGAGCAAAGAGAAAGCCGGGGGATGTTTCCCTTTGGGAAGGGATCGGCTGCCTCTCGTGCAGGGAGCTGCATGTGGTCAGCTAAAACCACAGCAGCCAGGCTAGACACGTAAATAAGCCCTGGAGGCCCAGCAGCAGCAGTAACTATGCCAAGACATCTGCTCAGCTGGTGCAAGCTGGCATTTCAGCATGGTAATGCAGAGCAAAGAGAAAGCTGGGGGATGTTTCCCTTCGGGAAGGGATCGGCTGCCTCTCATGCAGGGAGCTGTGTGAAAGCTGCTCAAGATTGTGCCTGATGCTGTCTCCCCCCAAAACACAGGTTGCAAATATGGGAATCATAAGAGGGACATTAACTGCCCCAAATGACCCTGCCAGGGGTCTCTCCAACTGCTCTGCTTCCCAGATCCTTAAGGGCTTTGTGTGAAGCCCTGCCAAGCACATCATTTGGTCCCTCTGTTGTCTTTGGAGGGATGAGCCAGCTTTTTCCACAACATGTAGCTCATCTTGCAACCACTCTGGGTTTCTGAATCCCTCCGGCTATTCAGAGATTAAGTGGGTTTTCCCTGTCATTCAGAAGCAACCCTCTGGGAAGCATCTGCCTGGATAAATATTCAGTGAAGACCATGTGGGAGCGGAGAGGAGCGCTGGGAGAAGGGGAATGAGGTTGTTCCCTGGCCCTTTTGGAAAGGGCTCATTTCACTGCATCCCTTTCTGGAAACCCTGGAGCCCCCACAGGTTATTACCAGTGTGTTGAAACCCCATTAAAAATACTATACGCACAGCACTTTGCAATGAGCTGCCACACTGGGCTGTTTACTGAGGCTGGTGCTAAATTACATCTGATTAAAACCAGGATGCCATTCCTATGCAGGGCAGAAGCAATCCATACGGCGGAGCCTGCTTAGTATTGCTCTCGCATCGCTGCCATGGCACAGCTTTACCCTCCTCCCAAGGCAACCGCGGCACCATGAGCCACGGGCTGCAATTTGGAGGCAACTCCTGCTCGCTCTGCTCCACCAAGAGCGGCCAGAGGAGATGGTTGTCGCAGGCTGGGCAAGATCAGCACCTCCCTCTGCTCCCCTGCAGCCTGGGTTTAGGTGAGGGGCTGGGGAAGGACCTTGGGATCCCCAAGAGAACAACAACGAGCCCAAAGAGCAGCCGCTTTCCTGGCCAGGGCCTTTGGTGTGAGATGGGTGCAGGCTCTTGCTGTTAGGGTGGGGACCTTGGGTGTCCCAGAGAAAACTAGTACAAAGTTTAGTAGCAAAGGGTCAAAGTTGTTAAAAAAAAATCCCACAAAAGTCAAAATAAACAAATGTTTCTTAAAAGGCTCAACCACACCAGCCTGATCTGCTCCACCAGCTACATACTCCCAGCCTTAATGGTGGTGGCATCTTCTGAACGGCCCCCATGGATCACGTACGAGCAACACGTGCTGCTACACGAAAGTTTTTTGTTTGTTTGTTTTCAGACATCTAAAAAGGCAACTCCAACACCATCAGAGCCTCTTGGCCAGCGAGGAAACCCATGCCAGCCCCTTGTCCTGGTGGTGCCATTGCTGTCACTCAGCCTCCAGAGGCCCCAGCCTCAGGCAGCAGTGCAGTCGGGAGACTTTTGTTGGGCCAAACATCTGCTCTTAGCACAGAAAGTTTCCCTCGCCGGCAGACATCAGTCCAACGCTCCTCCTGCTCCATGCAACCTGCTCCTGGTTGCTCAACACCAGGGCAAACTGGCACAAGGCCAAGCCCATCTTCCCAGCCAACCAATTCACCGTTCAGTTATTAAATAGAAGTCACTGCCAAATCAATTCTGAAGGAATCTTCCTGTCCTCAAAAAGTCAACCCTGTATTTCGCATGTCATCACACCCGAGACATCACAAGTTAAGCAGAAAGCAAAGCTCACCAGCACCTCTGCATTGGTTCTGCAAACCCACAAGTCTTTATGAAGGGAGGGAATCGGCTAATTCCGAAGCATTTTTGGCCAAACATCCTGTAGAATAAAGCTTAAGTCTGAAATACTGCTATGCCCTCATCAGTAAGGCTTAGGGGCTCTAGGACTGCTAGCTTTTCCTAACATACACTCACAGGGATGGAAGGAAACGTGGCCTTGCAACAACGGCCGTAGGTTGAGTATGGCACTGGACGCAGAGAAGGGATGCTCCAACCCGGACACGTCTGCTCTCAGACTCTGCTTTTCCTTCAGGAATGAGCCTCACATCTTGCATGTATCCAAGTGTACTACTTGGTATTAAAATTATTAAAATAGAAAGGCAGTCAATAAAACACAGTGACAGCATGTCCTGCTTCCTGCACAAGGTGGGCTCTCCTCTCCAGGAGGCCCATCCCAGTGTCTTCCATTGCTGTATCTCAGTTGGACTCTCTCTGGTGTGGAAAGCTCCTGGTGCCACCCCCGTGGCTGCGGTCTCCCTCCCAGTGCCTCTCGCAGGAGACATTCCTGCCCCAGCAAGCGTCACCAGCGAGCACAGCCCCGTCACCATGGACACCAAGCCACCAGGGACCAGGTGCCACCACTGCTAAAAGGTCAGCCCACGTCCCCATCTGCCTACGGCTGCTGCATCCCATCTCACACGTACCTTCTGCACCCAGGACAGCACGTGGCCCTGCATTAACACCGTCCGTGCTCCACTTCTCAACTCCTCACTCCATCAAACCCAATGCGTGGTTATCAAGTCTCCCAAATTGTCTCAACTCCTCACTCCATCAAACCCAACCAGCAACGACGCGTTTACGGTTGTGACTACCGCAAGCTCAAAGCAGCTGCGTGGTTATCAAGTCTCCCAAATTACATAACAATTATGGATGCTTACATTAAAATCACCTGGCAATCTGCAGATTGCCTGGCAACACTTTTCCTTCAGCGTGCACGAAGGATGCATTTTTCCTCTGTAATTACATAATAATTGCCTTGCATTTACTCAGCAGTCTGAGAACACCATTTTTTAAACTTCCATTCGCTAATAAAATAAGTGGTTACTTAGTAGCCCAAAACAAAGCATCCCATTGTTGCTGCTGTTGGGAGTGCTCGGGCACCCTATCATTTATTGCCCAATTTGATTCCCTCTGCCTGGGATATGCACCTTTTTTGACTATATTCTAGCCTAAAAGTTTCTTCTGAGCCAGAATTGTTATGCAGGCGCCAGCAGCATCCAGCACAATCAAGCTTGGATCTCTCGGATAAAGAATGCAGGGTCTGCTATAATTTGAATGCTAATGAGAATATAAAAAGCCGCAGTCTTTGCGTCCTTCAGAGTCTATTGAAGAGCCTTATGCTTCCTGTTCTCATTCATATATATGTTTCCACTGACTTTCTGCAGTGACCTGAAGGATTTTGGCAGCTTTCAGCACCTGGAAGCTTCTGCATTGTCACAGATTCGCAAATATCGATTTCATTCACACCTGGAGGCTGGTGCTTCCCCACTGATTTCAGACAGATTAAGCGCTAACATTGCATTTCAATGTGGAGCTGGACTCGAGCTCTGCAAACCACCTCCCCTGCCTCAGTAAGGTCCATCAGGCCCTGCAGAGACTGGTTCCCTGTGAGCATTCAAAAGCAGAAAAATATTTTCAGTGGAAGCAATGGCTTGCGTGTGCTACAAGAGGCTGCAGAGCTGGTGGGGGCTGTTGGAGACTCAGCAAGACGAAGGCAGACACAACCAGCGCCGCTGTGGCAGCACGACACTGTGCTTTTACAGGACATGGCTGCAGGTGCTCTTTGAAAGCACATTTTGAACAACTTCCTCTGGCTGGGGAGAGAAACAAGTATTTCCAATAGTTAAATCAGCTGGAAGCCTCCCATCCACACTGGGATGGAGACCTGGCTTGCTCGCTCCCAAAGACCCCTTCCATTGACCAGACTACATCAAGGATCCTTGTCCTCCCTACTCACTGCTCTACCTTCAGATTCGTCACCATAACTGTGGTGACGGCACCTGGACGGCTGTGGCACCTGGATATGTTAAAATAAACCAGTTATAACCGACATTGATAAAAAATTACAGTGCCTAAGACGTGTTAAGCCAACCAAGGTGAGTTTTGCAGAACCCACCTCTGCCACTTCCAGGGTCAACAAGGAGGTGGAACAGCACCACAGCACCACAAGTGTAAGAAGAGTCAAACACTCGGACATTGGCTCCTCTCATCCATCTGTCCTCTGGTATCATATCTCTTGTCGAATCAATTGCTTTGGCAAAAACTTCAAGTCAACTCAACATCCACAGCACATCCATTCCCCGCTTTAGGCAGCCCTACAGGAAACTTCCCCATATGCTTGTATTTAATAATCCTCGATGCTCCCTTCTTCCACAGATTTGTCTAATCACTTCTGAGCTCATTTAGTTCCAGCATTCGCTATCTCCTCCAGTAATGAATGTCACTGTTTAATTACATGCTACACAAAGGTAATTCCTTCTGTTTTAAACATGCTACCTGATTATCTTACTTGCTCCCTGCAAGCTCTTGTGTTGTTAAGTCCACAAGCCACCCCTTCTCATAAAAAAAAAATCCAAACTGGAAAGTTCTGGTCTAAACCTTCCGTATAGAATTCCCTATGCCTCTAGGAGCACACCACAGGTTCCAATAAAAGCGCAACAACATTTTTTGTTTTAGTTTCTATTCTGTTTGCAGGAACTCCCCCAAATCCTGTTAGCCTTCTTGACTGTCACTAAGCAATCAGCTGGCATTTTCAGAAGAACCATCCAGAGCAAAGCCTGAGCAAGAAGAGCTAATTTAGAGCCTGTCACGACATACGTATTTTTAGTGTTGTTGCTCCCCCTCACTCATTCCCCCACACTCAGCAACATTGAATTTTACCTGCCACTTTATCATTCTGCCACTCACCACCATGGGATCTTTCTGCCCGCCATCGCAGTCACTTGTGATGATGACTATCCCAACATCAAATGTCACCATCAACCTCTCTTATTTCACTCTAT